TGTGGGTATGTGGGATTATATGCGCGGGTGTGTGTGTATGGGATAGAGGAATAGTCTAAATAGTAGTATGGAAATGAAGAATGGAATCTGGGTTTTTTTCTGCGGGGAAAAGAGACGGGGTGCGATGGCTGTGTTGGGGTGAGGGGTCCGAGAGGCGTGTGAGGCGCTTCTTTTTTTGGGACGGGCTTGCTTTGGTTGTGGGGATGGAGGAGGGTGGGGTGAGTCAGTGGATGCATGGAAGGGTGGATGGAAGGATGGAAGGAGGAAGGTTGGGGTTAGCGTTGTAGGGTTTGCCTGGTACAGAAGAGCTTGTTCGGTGACGGTATGAGGAGGTGGTTTAGTTGGGATTTGGTGGAGCTAGTATAGTTTTGTGCAAGGTATTCTAGTTGGTTACTCCTCCCCTTTCTATGACATGATTTCTTTGCATGACACTTTTTTTTTCTCTACTCTTCTACGGAATCCAAAAAACCACGCTTGTATATTTTACATTAGCCCGTAAAGTTGTCCCATTGCTTCCTGCATATCGACGTCGTTTCGTGTAATAAGCGGTCTTGTGTCTGCTATTAATTGTCGGCAGACTTGGTACCCAAAATGCAGCCCCAATGTTGCGAGTAGGAGAGGTATCAAGATGCGTCCTAATATGCGACTCCAAGATATCCCCCCCTGTGCTGATCCGTTGCTACTTCTCTCCGCCGAACTGGACAAGGCTGTCGTTTCGTCTTTCCTTCCATCGTCCTTCTCTTCAGTTACATTGCTCTCCAATACCGTCAAGTAGGTCAGTCTTCCTAGCCACAGATGCCATCCGACAAGCATCACAAATGCGAATGCGATGTTGATCCAAGACAACTGAGCGTATGGTGATTTTGCTCGCCGCCCCAGAATATCATACATTTCGTCAAAGCCTTGGACGACACGGTGCATAGTAAGAGAGATGATGAGCATTGCTGTTGAGATCCCCGCGATTTCTAGGCTGTGCATGCCGAGGCGACGGAAGAGTGTTGTTTCTCGCTTGTGGAGGTGCCAGTTCCAGAGCAAAGATATCAGATCATTTGCCCGAGGGTGTGTTGTTTTTATTGTGAGGAGCATGGCGGCGTGATGCGTAGGATCTAGGAGATTCGGATAGGAATAAAGTGGGTATAGCAATGGTATTGCAGATGTACCAGGCTTCCCACGAAAGAAATGGCCTTTTTGTGTGTTCTGGATGTATGGCTGTGGTGTACTGGGTAGTATCCGAGAAAGTTAAGCCGTGTTGGACAGTGTCGTCGTGGTTGTTGCCTTTGCGGTTATTGTCTTTCGTCAGGGCGACCCTTCCTGAATCCTTCCTGTCTCGGCAAACGTCTTACTACAGTAACGTAGCCCGCTAATGTTTGGCCGCAAAAATGCAACAACAAGCTCTTCTCAATCAGCCCATTCCACGGTTCTTCTTCAGTTGACGCGTTGGCTGCTGACTCTTTTCCTTTCCTCACCCCTCTGCGCACGTGAAACCCCCTTTTGAAACACAAAGAGACTGCTGTTGCTGTTGTATCGCGCACTGCTAAGCCGACTCTGCTCGTTTTCTTGCAATCCTTCTGATTTTATTGTACTTGGTTCGTCCCCCAAACGCGTCGACAGGGAGATTGTTATCCCTTTTCGTTTCTCGTCAGCGCTGACTGCCGTGATTCTCACGAGGTGGCGCCAAGCCCCTCCCGTAATGCTCACACCGCCTAGCTATTTTCGATCCTCACTCCAGGTTATTGGGTTTCAGCCCCGCAACAAACTCATTCGATTCACAAGTAACGAGATGGTGGAATTAGAGACGTGGGGTTGGAAATAGGAGTGAGGAAAAAAACAGGAGCATCAAATCTTACCCAGCACCGAGGTTTGCACCCTGATCCGCCGCACCCCGGAGTTAGTAGTTGCCTGACGCTGCCCCGCATTCTCATGGCTGAACTAGCCGTGTGCCGCGCCGCCACCATCAGCCCTGATTGGCCATGATTGCGTCTCAAAGGACATGTGTGTTGGTGGTGATTAACTGTGGGGATTGAAGGATGAGGCATCGATAGGAGAGGAAGGTGGGCACGTAAGAGAAAAGCTGATGGTCCCCATGTGGCACATGTCACGGGAGCGGCCGCTCCGGGTATTTTTTTCTGATGAAGATTTTTGTTCGCTATGGCGCTAGTAGTATGGATGCTAGGAGAAAGTGTAAAACATGTCCACTATCATAGCTTTGCTTCTACTTTGGCCGAATTTTTTTTGGCAACATTTCGATTCAGCCATTTTTCTAATTGCCACCTATAGGCCCATGTGCTTTGGCGTGACTTCTGGTAGCAGAGATATGAACTCAAGGTGTATATCGCATGACGGTATAGCTACACGGAACTATTAATGGAGAATATCGTGACCTTGTCAAGTCCTATTCATAGCAGCGTCCGAAACATCATGCCCTCTTATAATGATGCTATAACATGTGCTTTGTTTGGACCGTCGACTTTGGCCTATACGTGTGGAACTCTTCAGGCTTTCCCTTGAGTACAAGGCCAACACCGCCCTGCCTGACGATAACGTAAAGCCTCAACCATCCATGAACATGCCTCGCTTCGTTTCTCACAAAGTTCAAACGAAACCCGCCGATTTCTAGGAGCAACAGAAGGCATAACACCCAGCAATGCCGATAGAAACACCAGCATGTTTTACCGATCGTGTCTCACGATGCACCGTGCCCAACCGACAGCTCCTACACATTAGCATTGTCCGAGAAACACGTTAGTATGTCTCGCGCCTGTCATTCGCGCAAAACAAAATTGTATACTGTAAACATGATCGCACGGAACAAAATCGTATCACATCGAACACGATACGCAATGCCGTCAATTCGATGGCCGCCAAGCCGGTGCGCACCTACCGTGTGTCATGATGGCATTCTCGGTAGATTCTTCGACTCCTGAAACAGGGAAACAAGACGCTACTTGCAAGGCGCCAAATATGCCGGATCAAGATATTCCAAAGACAGAATATCCCAGTGGGAATTGAGTAGCTGGATCGACTTTGATTCTGAAGTGCTATCTTCGAGATCTTCGGGATGGTACGACGAACTCGCTGTCTCCTTCATCTTCTACGCCATCTTCTGATGAGTCTTCGTCGCCATCCTCGTTCTCATTGTCTGCCTCCGGTTCGGTCGTAGCAGGTATGTGCCTTGACCTCAACGTGCGGCCAGTTGGAGCGGTTTCGGCCTCGAATTTCTTTACCTTGGCCCTTACTCGACCCTGCCTGCCTCTGCCCTCAAAGTCAAGAGTCCACGACAGTTCGAGTCCCTGCTTTTTGGTTCCAGAATTGTCAATGATCCAGTTGTACGGCGCCTTTAGGACGATTTTGGACTTAATAGTGAAGAAGCCCCAGCCTTGTGCTTCAAACTCGTACGGTGCGGTTCGGAGAACATGGTGGCTGGGTCGGAATGTGGGATGCTGTGACATGTTAGCTTTCTCGCGGACACCAGTACATCAACCAGTAGCCATAGCAAGTGTGCATGTGTGAATCAGCCATATCCAAATCCGAATTTCGGGTATCTTGGGATTCGTATAGAATGGCCTTCGCACCCCGCTTCTTGACCAAGAAACAACTTGAACCTGCAAAACTGACCAGATAAATATGCACTTCCTTAATAAGTTCCGGCCTTGATGTGCGTACAAAAAACGTCCAAAGATGTTCATTTGCACTACCAGGGTTCCTGATCAGCCGATGCTTATTCCCTATAAGAATCATGACGCCCTCGACACCATCTTGTCCAATACGAGACCCCCTATCGACTTCCTCTTCTACACGTCTTTCCGCATAAGTCACGGGATACTGGGCCTCCAACTGTCTTGCCAGACGCTTATCCGGAGATGCTGTTGTATGTGTCCTGCACATGGGGCAGTTGGCTTCAAGGTCGTAGCTGGGATCATAGTTGGGATCAAAGTCTGCGAGGTGCACATCCAGGCTCGAATGCTCAATCTGGTTGGTAGAGGATGCATCCGCCCATTGTGCCATACACGATGTGCATAGCAGATGGTTGCATTGAGTTCTCACGGGAGTGTAGAGGAGAAGCTGGCAGATCTGACAGATGTGAGCAAATATCGACCCGAACTTTTTCTGTTGTGTGTGCAGCTCACGGGGCAGAGATGGTCGTGCGCGACATCTTCTGGTGGAGCTGCGGGCGTTGCCTGGACCATGATCGCCTGAAAGAGGGAGAAGGATAAAAAGAGGAGAAGACCGGTGGATAACGAAAATTCAATGCCTTTTAAGTAAGCCGTACTTAGTAGCTGTGACATGGCTGCTACTACGGGTGGTGTTAAAGTGGGTGCCATGCTCGTCATTGGCTAGTGTGCTTCAGGCACCAGTCTCGCTGCACACGCCATTGCAAGGCGGGAACGGTTTTCACGTGATGGCGCGTCACCAGGAATGTAATTTTGACCAAATGGCAGTCCCATTAGCAATTGAGGATATATAAATACATTGGACTCCCATATGCGTGCGCGCTTTCATCTGTATCCATTGTCGTGGCCCCATGGCATATCATCTGGTCGCAGTCCCATGGCTTCTTTCTGTTGCAATTGCCTTTGCAGCTCCGCCTCCCGTTTAGCCTCTTCCAGATAACGCAGCCTCTCCCTCCGGGCCTTCTCCTTGAGCTCGCCAAATGGATCGAATCGATCACTCTCTGGGTTCTTGAAGGGATTTTCCCTCCAGCTACCTCGATCTGTAAGCGTTGTGCTCCTCGGCCTGTTGTGAAGCATGTCATATGCCTTGTTACGCTGAGGATCGGCAAAAGGATTGGGTGTTGGAGGCTCCATGCGCGAGCCGCTACGGTCTGTGGATACTGTTTCTGGGCGCAAATATTCACCTGGGCCAAACAGAGTGTTACTGCGGTCTGTTGAGCGGGTCAAATGACCCTCTGCACCACCGTTACTGGCCCCTTGTAGACGCGCGAATATTGACGATGCAGTACCTGCGTGTGCGCTCTCCGGAGCTCGCAGAGCTTGTGCCATGGATGAATTGAAAGAATCGTCTTGCATGGACACATGGCGGTTATATTGCTTGCTTTTGCGGCGCTTGATAAAGACGATGGCAGCAACGAGAAGGGCCAGGGCACCTATTTGGCTGTTAGACATGATCAATTATGGAATAAAAGTATAGTAGTGACTAACCAAGTACACCTAGGACGATTGCTGCTACCATGGCTTGTTTTGTCATTATGGGCGTCTGTTCTTCTGGCAACCTTTCCGCAGCGCTGGTTTCACCCGTCATTTCCGCTTCTGCAGTTGATAGAGGCGGAGGCGGAGGTGGAGGAGGCGGAAAAAGAGACACGGAAGCTGTCGGTGAAGCATCCTTTTGCCTGTCGCTTTGTATCCTGTCCCCTGGGAGAGATGTTGTGGAAGGAAGAGTCGTCGTTTCTAACGTAGTGCCGGTGCCCCATGATAGAGCTGCTTCTGTGGTGACTTGTAACGCGGGCACACCTGTCGCGGTGCTCGATAGAGAGGGTGGCATGGTCGGATCAGGACCGAGAGTTTGGACGGGTCGGGATGATGCACCGGATTTCATCGGCGAGGGTGGCTCTTCATCATCGTCGGATTCTGAATCTTCACTTGAGGATGACCCGCCGCCAACTGTTGAAGGGCTGCTGAATGGCGAGTCTGGGCTTTCTGGTCCTTCATCCTCCTCTTTCTGCCTCTCCGGAAGGGGCATAGTAGTTACAGCACCATCTTGACGTCGCGAGTGCCTGGGGAAGATGGAGACTGGCGTCGGCCGCCTCAGTTGATAGCGAGCCATGATAAAAGTAATAAACAAGTATTAGATAATGTTAGACACACGCCAAGTGACCAATAGTGCAGATATGACAAGAAAATAAAGTAAGGAAAAGGAGTGTCTCCAGGACTATGGACCGAAAAGAGTGTATCCGTTCAACGGAGAGATTGAAAAGAACGCCTGATTTCCTCAGTGACAACGTCAATCCACATCAATCAAGGTGAGGAGAGAGAGTAAAGCGACGGAACATGGAGACGCCAATGCTTTGAATGCACCATGACGGCTTGGGGGCCGCATGTCAGGGTCACTAGTCTCAGTCGCAAAACGTCTCCAGAGTGGATCTGCTCGGCACTGTCTTCATCCCCAACGCTTTCCTGGGAAATAGCATAGAAACGGCACTTCTCTTATTGGGCTACCTGAGGTGTCCTCGAAACTAAGGCTCAATCGCGTCCAGTCGCGGCAACGGCGATCAGCAGCAAAGTGCAAGAAATTGTCTGGCTGAGCCATGCTAAGAGATGCACCGACTGGGGCATGAGGCTTAATGGAGTTCCGTGGTTGGGCACGGGGAATACATGAGACGTCTTGGCGGTTTGACAGTGCAAAGATGCAGCGCCTTGTGCTTCAGCACCCTTACACCGCGCGGCGCCATAACATGGGTTGTCGGAGCAAGCTGGCTGCCACGGTGAAGAGGAAATGACGAACAAAGCTGGCAGTCCCGTTCGCAGCGTGCATAACCATAGTAACGCCTCATGGTTCAGGCTAGTGGGAGATCTGTAGCACCAGCGCCAAAGCCACACCTATGCGAAAGCCACACTTGGGCTCCTTGTGTGTTTACGTCGCTGATTTGGATTTTGCAGCGGTTGTGAACATTGGTCGACACGACCAGGGCGCTGCATGTGGAATCATCAATATGCAGCTGTCATCTAAGTGAGTAGACCGTTTGTGAAGGCTGTCAAGCTGGAACAAAGGTGGAGAAAAGGAGCTGCCATCGCGAACGGACAGATTGTGGCGCGGAGACCCCGGAAAATTGTGGAGCCTAGCGTGATTATGCTGCGGGCAATCGAGTTGCCGCATCAACAACGCTCCACTATCCGAGCCAACGTCTCTGATAGCACATGCAACACTGTCGCGTGTAGCCTTTCTATTGACCGCATTAATCCGCTCGTTATGACAGTGTGGCAGTACCTACAGACGAGACAATAACTAGTATAGACTCTAACCTACCGCACAGGTGCCACCAGCAACACGCAACCACATCCTGCTATAGGGCGGGCGAACGCAAGGTATATTATTATCCATTACATTCTGCTTGAACTTTTAATTAAACCTACCCCAGATCGCAGGATTGAGTCCCATGTGAAATATCGGAAACCAGTTCTAGGCTGGTATGGCTCGATCCATACTCTGACCCAAGCACATTTCATAATACACTTCTCTCTTCGCCAACAACTCTTGGTGCGTCCCACTCTCCACAACTTTTCCCTTGGCAAAAACAAAGATTGCATCTGCATCCTTGATTGTACTGAGGCGGTGCGCCACTGCAATGGTTGTACGTCCGCTCTGTGCCTCCTCTAGGGCCGATTGAACCACCCGCTCAGACTCGGTGTCGAGTGCGGATGTGGCTTCATCAAGCAGAAGAAGACGCGGTTCGCGTACCAAAGCCCGGGCTATTGCAATCCGTTGACGTTGTCCTCCGGACAACTGTGTGCCCCTATTGCCACACATGGTTGCGAAGCCGTCAGGCAAGGATGCGACAAAGTCATAAATGTTGGATTGTTTGGCTGTTTTCTCAATTTGCGCATCCGTAACATCAGTGTCGATGCCCATGGCAATGTTGTCGCGGATCGAGCCTTGGTATAACACGGGTTCTTGTTGAACCAGCGAAACATCACGACGGTATTTGCGGGGACAGAGCTCCGTCAGGACTTGATTGTCGCAAGTTATCCGCCCGGCGATAGGGTCGTAGAACCTTTCAAGAAGGGATATCATGGTCGACTTACCACAACCGGACGCGCCCACGAACGCGATGAACTGGCCGGGCCGTACGTCGACATCGATGCCTTCGAGAACTTTAGCATGTGGTCGAGACACGTATGCGAACGCAATATCATCCACTTCGATATGGGCCGGACCCTTGTCCTTTTCGTTTTCAAAGGGAGGCTTAGATGGGTCTTCTTCCACGGCCGGTGTTAGCCTTCGTAGCCAAAACACGTAGTTCGCCGCGGTTGCCGCCTTGGTCAGACTGGTCGTGTAAGAAAAGAACCCTGCAGCGGCCTCTCCAGAAAAGATAACACCGATAAAGACTGTGAAGAATTGGGTTGTTGTGTACTCGCCAGTACTGATCAGGCGACCGCCGTACCAAAAACCCTATACATGTCAATTTTCTGTTTTCGAGAGCAACGGACGAAGTACATACCAAAGCCATTGCAAGGAACGAGATAGATTGCGAAAGGGCATACCAGAACATGGTCCAAACTAGAGCCTTGATGCTATGCTTTTCAATATGACGCAAACAATCTTCGTATCGCGCGAGAATATGTCGCTCAAGTGCAAGACTGGACACTGTGCGAATAGCCGAGACGGCTTCAGCAGCGAGTGCAGCACTGCCAGCAAAACGTTTCCCAGTGAGCTCCTCTAATTTAAACTCAAGACGAATTCTTAGGTAGCCGGACAATACGATTGGTGGTAGAGCTGAGCGCATGCAAGGTCAGTACAGCTTACTGATTGGGTTCAAGATACTCACCTCCAAAGACCACGACAAGGCCTAGCTTCCACCCAACGGAAATTGCAAGAATGGAGCTGGAAACAACATTAACGACGTTGATAAAAATCAGCATCAGGTTAAAGCCCATGAGGTCGCGCAAGTGGTCGGGGTATCCTGAGAGCTTTGAAACAAGCGCGCCGCTAGCGTTGCTCTGGTCGTCAAAGAAGGCCATGTCTTGCTTGAGCACCAGATCGAATATCTCGCGTCGGAACTTCCTTTCTACCACTTGAGCTACAATGTTGCTCGTCCACCCGATAATGGAATATATGGCCAGGTCACCAAGAGCAACGACAAAAAACATGAGAGAATAGAAGTCACCTTCGTCTACAGCTCTTTCGGGCGATAACTGAAACGCTCCGGCAACGCGTGAAAATAGTATGGCTTGAGCAGGGTATGTTGCTCCTCCACATATACCGGCTATCGTCAATAGGACGAAGCATTTCCAGACATCGCCTACTTCTTTGAGAACCAGCCATATACACGTGACCAGATTGTAGTTGATGCCATCTTTGCTCGGTTGCTCAACATCATCGTGGTTTACGGCGGAGACCTGGGTTTGAGTGCGTCCGAGATCGACTTTCTCTTCAGCAAAGTCTTGATCCACGTGTTCTTCGCTGTCGGTTTGGCCAAGATCCTGGGCTCGGACAAGACGTGCGTATGCTCCATCTTGCGCAAGGAGCTCTTCATGTGAGCCTTGTTCCACAACAGCGCCGCTAGACATGACGATAATGTTGTCTGCATTGCGGATTGTAGAGAGTTTGTGCGCTATGACGATGGTGGTGCGGCCTTGAGAAACGCGCTCTAGGGCTTGCTGCACAATCTTTTCAGCTTTTGGGTCTAAGGCGCTGGTTGCCTCATCTAGCAGCAGGACGGTTGGTTCTGAAACAATGCTGCGTGCGATCGCTATGCGTTGCTTTTGACCGCCCGAAAGATTTGCAGCACGCTCGCCAAGTTGTGTATCGTAGCCCTATGTGTTGTTAGCACTACTAATCCATGCATGGTACGCAAATCGGGGGAATCTACCTTGGGCAGTCTCTTGATAAACTCCTCAGCATAAGCATCTTTACAAGCCTTTTCTACCAGTGCCCGTTGCTCATCGTGAGGTAGATTGGCCTTTTCGGTACCAACAAGGCCGAATGCGACGTTCTCATATATGGTCCCGGAGAACAGAACCGGCTCTTGCTGAACGAGACGGATGTTTGTCCGTAGCCACGTGAGATTCAACTCTCTGATGTCCGTACCATCGAGGTAGATCACACCACTAGCCTGGTCGTACCAACGTTCAATCAAGCCGACGATGGTAGATTTGCCGCTACCCGAGGCTCCAACTAGCGCTGTCGTTTTACCTGCTGGTGCCGATACAGTCAGGTTCTTCAGCACCGTGATATCGGGCCTTGCTGGATACGCAAAGCTGACGTCCTTGATCTCAATGAAGCCGTTGCATACATCGGGTATTTTACCCTCTTCACTAAGAGGATCTATGGGTGACTTTCGATCAATGGTCTTGAACAGCTCATCCGCGGAAGATGATGCCTTTGTTAAGGCCATGATTTGAGGAGAAATCGTCGTCATTGCAGTCGCTGCAACTATCACAGCTAAGATGACGGTAAACACATCGCCTGTGTGCAAGTAAGCAAGTGCTATTATTTGATGAGAGAATCCACAAGACTTTACTGAGAAAACAATGCGAGAAACCAACTTACCGCTTTCTTTGATCTCTCCTCGAGAAAACATTCGGATACCTTGCCAAAACGCCAATCCATAGCCGCAGTAGATACAGAAGAACTCGGTGGAAAACATGACTGCGTAGATGGGAGATTTCTTCATCCCTACATTCATTGCATCACCGAGAATATTGTCGTATTTGCGCGACAACAAAGGATGGAGCCAAAAAGCATGAACAGTGCGTATCGTTGAGAAGACTTCTTCTGCTAGCTGTCCAGCTCTTGATTGGATAGATAGCAACTGGTTCTCATTCTTGGTGTCGAGACCCACGCAGATACTGATAACGACTATAATGGTCGGAACGACACTGATTGTGATTAAAGTGAGCTTCCACTGGACGACGAAAGCGACAATGAAAGCTGTTACGAATGTCGATACACCCTGGATTGTGAGCGAAAGTTTCTCGGAAATACCGTTGTTGACATTGTGTCCATTGCTGGTGGCTTGCGTTGTGACCGAGGCGGCCTCGTCTGAATCAAAGTAGGCGATGTTTTGGCGAATGACGTGTTTGAGGAAGTCTATGCGCACAGCCTTGGTGGTACGTATTGCGGCTATCGATATAAAAGTCTAGCAAATTGAGTATCAAGATGTTGAACCGCTGAGGGACTCCGCATACCGAGTGGATATAAACGAGGCTGAATTTCGCAATGAAGAGATATACAAAGTATAGAGTGAATTTGTTCACTTCAGAACGATATTTAGCTGGTGTGATGGTACCAGTAGCAAAACCAGTGAATGTGGACACGAATCTGGAAAGTCAGTGAAGTCTTCAGCGTTGTCTCCGTATTCACACTCACTTTCCGAAGACTAGATCCCTGAGGAGAAGATTAGTGTTTGTGTGGACCAAGTAGTACTGATTCGCTTACATAAGTGGTAGCAGTGTTCCAGCAGCGACGGCGGCAATGGCCGCAATGACGTTCAGAATCCAACTGGTACGATCTGCATACCGAAAGATGCGCTGAAACAAGGTCAATCCCATATTCAATTCAGGTTTTGGGCGTGTTTGGACTTACGACATAGCCACCCATACCGCCCTCGGCCTCCTTCGACGCAGCATCGCTGTTCCCGTCAGAGGCTATATCTCTCCTAGAGTCTTCAGTCAATTGTGCGTCAGATTTGGGTGGTGGGGTTTGATGCCCCTCTGGCGACATGGTCGAAGCAAGAGTTGGTGTTGTGCATCGTATGCCGGCAGCAACGGAAATCTAACGCCATTTTATTGTGGCTATTGGCCAAAGATACGCCTATTATTCTTAAGTTACGTAAGGCTGTTCTAAGTGGCTGAATAGTTCCCGAGATGAGCTGAATCGTGCCAGGGTGTGACTGCGCTCTTTGCGGACAAGGATATCCGGAGAAAGTCCGCCCGTACTAAAACAGCGCAACATTAAAGACATAAATCTGTAAGCTACTATTTTGAGATTACATGATCTAGTGCTATGTCACTAAATGCTATAGGTCGAATGTAGTAGGTGGCTGATGTGAGCAGTGGGGTTGTATTGATAGAGGCTGTTTTATTCCAGTATTATCGCTGTCCACTAAGAAAAGATTACGAGCAAGCGTGCCAATGTCAGACGGAGCCTTGGCATAATCACGTGACACCAGCACTTTCCATCGTTGTTCATCTGATATAGCTAGAAATGCATTACAAACATTTGCAGCTGTGTTGAAAAGCGAAACTTGATAGTTAAAGAAAACTCGACTAATGCCTTGAGAATATGTGATTTCCGCCTATAGTAATGACATAGTTGATGATAGCCCCCGTTGTCGGTGCCCGAGGGCTCCGCTGTCCGAACTCTCCACATTACTACACCCACTCTCGCACTCTACGCGTTGCCACACTGCAGCCTAAACCGACCCATAACCGAAGCTATGGAAGACGACGACATGGATGAGTCGCCCGATCGGGGCATGTCTAAGCGTGCGGTAAGTTGAGACAGCCCTGGCTCTTGGCCTGTGGCTGCATAGAGTGGTCCAGCCACTAACAATTCCAAAACAGTGCGATGGCTGTCGCACGCGTAAGATACGTTGCGACCGAGCCGTACCTTGCTCTAACTGTAAGGCAAGCAAACTAGGTAAGAGATCTTGCGTCTATGACATACGTGATAGGCTATTGATTATGGAGGCAGCTTGCAAAACGACTGTTCCCCAACAGAAAGCTCAACGTCAAAGAGTCCACATTTCTGAGCAATAGTACGTGTTTCAGATAACAGGTTGTTACACTCATTGGCATATGTGCCCCTTTAAATACGTTTTTATCGCGCCGCGACACGTCTGGCTATAAGCCGTTTCGGGACATATCGAGAGCAGGCCAAAACCCCCCGAGCATAATTCACACTTTGGCCCCAAAACTTGGATGATGACGAGGGCCGTCAGTGCTGACTTCTTGTAGCGAAAGGAAGATTGACCGAATAGAAGATCGATTAGCAGGAATCGAAAATGTTCTCGCTAGCCTTTCGTCAAAACTCGGCAATATGGATCTTGCCAAAGACAGTCCCGAAACAGGCAGTCAGTCACGTTCGAGTCGAGCAGGAAGAAGCCCAGGCAGTGGTTTACAGGAAGCCCCTACACCTGCGCCATTCGAGGGTGAAAGCTCGATTAACATTCAATCCGTCTATGCTCGTGAGATGCTAGCTCAAGTAATTGACAACACACCGTCAATTGGCCAAAATGAAGAAGTCAAGATGGCGCTTACTGCTCTTTCGGAAATGGTATCGCAACCAGGCCAGACCATGGCTCCAAGCAATCGATTGATCAATCGTTCCCTTACCGAAGTGGATCCCACCAGACTTGAGCAACCTCCATGGATGGAGGTTTGCAATGCGTTGGATACAGCTATGAGTTGAGTTCAAATCTGTATTGAATCTTGAATGTTGCTAATTCTACTAGAGTATTCAACAATGACATTTGCCGTGATTTTTCCATTCCTCAAAATGCCAAACCTAAGGGAAATCTTCGATGACGTGTACCACAACCCTGGCACCTGTAGCGCTACTCGACGCGTGCTTACCTATGGTATTCTGCAGAATATATTTTATGAATTCCAAGCGTTTCCTCTAGCAGGCATGGATATCAGTCAATACGCAACATATGCGGCCATATGTAAGCGACAAACAGAGGTGGCCCTAAGCCAGCTTGATCTATTCATACCGGCAAGTTATGAGAATATCATGGCCTTGGTCCTTGGAGCAGCGCAAGCAATCGAGATGTGTAAGCCTTCTCTCTGCTATATCCTGGTATCTTGCGCAGCAGGCTTGTGCACGAGCTTGGGATATCACCGTATCAACACCATGAGTCACGATACGCCTGAAGAAAAAGAGTCGAAGATCTACATTTTCTGGATGATATACATGTTCGATAAGACACTCTCACTCCGGCTAGGCAAGTCAAGTGTCCTTCAGGATTGGGATATAGCTTTACCCTTCGTCCATGAGAGCGATCCTAATGAAACACCTTCCCAACGAACTCGTATGCTGTCCTACTGGGTGAAGGTCGCTAGGGTACAGGGCTTGACATATGAGAAGCTATTCTGCCCCGCATCCTTCCTGCAGTCCACAGAGGAACGAACGGCAGTAGCAACAGACCTGATAAATGCCATGAACCAAGCGTGGGCTGAACGTCACGACGTCAAAGCCGTCAACCGAGCAAACTTCGGAAAAAACATCAACAACGTCCCACAACGAGTGGTCGGAGTGGCTCACAGCCCAAACAAGACCCCACTCCCATCTCAATTGAAGCGGTACATATCTCAACCGCTCAACAAGGAGTGCGATGCCAACGAGTACATCCAAGGTATGCGACAAGGAGTATTCAGCTACCGCTGGCTGGACTGACCGTGAAAGGTGCATTAGATCGTGTTGAGGACATTTTGTTCTACTCTGACGTAGTTTCACATTACTCGACGTGTGCACTCATACAGCGCTCAGTAAGTCCGGGAAATATGACCTTCAATCAGGATTGCTTGCAGTCATCCCGATCAGCTCTCGACGCTCATAAAAGGGCCTCCGCACAGTTCAACAAGAAGGGCCAAGAGGAACTTTGGTCGGGATACGTGCACTGGTCCATTCTCCAGGCGCCGTTTACACCGTATGCTGAATTCATGACCGCTTCATTGTCCCAGCTAATCCATATAGGTTCATTGTCATTTTTTGCAACGCCATTCAAAAGGCCGATACAACCGACGTTAGCGCCGACCTCCAATCTCTCTCGGAGTTTGTCACGAGTCTCGAATCCTGTCGTACGATTTCTGAAGGCGCAGAAAAGCTCTATAGAATGTGTCATCTCTTCTTGCGGGTAGCAAGACTCTACGTAACGGCCAAGGCCCAGGACGCTGCTTTAAGATCGCGCACCGCCGCGCAAAACCATCAGAATTACTACACGGCAAACGGCGCACAACTCGACCTCAACGCCATGTCTCAGTTTGATCCGTATCTTAACGCACTCGGTCTACTTCCTGACACGGCATGGTCGGCAAATGAATACAACATGAATCCTGCTGGTCCCGGTGGCATGCAAGCCTTCCCGCAGGATCAACAAATGGGAAATAGTTTCAACCAAGGCCAAATGGGTCTTGGCTTTGGTCCACCGGGCGGGACTCACAACTCGATGCAGGACTGGTTTTCTGGGTCTATATATCTTATGAACCTGATGGAGCCGGGCGATGATATGCAGATGCCAGATATGGATTTATGAAAAGTTGATTTAGCGATTAATGAAGGAGTTTTTTTTTTTGGAGAAGCTTGAAGTTTTTGAGTGAATGGGGAAATGACTGAAGGTAGCGTCTTAATTTGCAGTGATACAACTAATGACCACTATAGTATATACCCAATGTTTGGCTTTTTTGGCTTCAAAGAGAAAAACCTGTATATCCCTCCTACTTAACCCCTCAAAAGATTTCACTCCAAAACCACTCCATTAACTACATTACTTTCCATCCCCAATCGCAAAAAGCAAGCATTTACACAACTTCAGACATGACCAAAAATTCAATGCACACAAAAGTTATTGATCAACAGCTCCATTTCCCTTCTACATAAAATATTAATCCTTGCCCCATCCGCATTCAACCTTCTCCAAAAAATAGTAAAATAAAACGATCCTTTCCTCAAGGAAAACCACAAGTCCAAAACACTGATCCAATCAACGTTGGCCGAATCCATCATCTCCATTACAATTTAAAAAAAAGGCCCCATGCTCGCCAAGTGTATGTGTTCTGCTGATTTTGTATACACAAAAGGAGGTGGTAGGGGGAGGAGATCCAGTCTCCAAGGGAGGAGGAGAACTTAGGCGGCACCAGCAGTAGCGGCAGCGCCACCGGCGGCGGCTTTACCCTTGCCCTTGCCCTTTCCCTTCTTTCCCTTTCCCTTTCCCTTTCCCTTGCCCTTGCCCTTGCCCTTGCCCTTCTTCTTAGGCTCAGGGGCGCGAGCTACAATGTCCTCAAGCTCG